CCCTACATTCTAGCAGATGGATGCCAAAAATTTAGGGAAATTTACAGTGATGCTCAGTGTACTATATGTAATACACTGTACTATTGTGCTAGGAGGTAGAAGAGTAGAGACTATTGCCCCAGTTTCTGCAGCTATTTTCCTCACTAGCAAGAGAAAATACTTAATTCTTAAGCTCTAATGGTGAGAGTTCTCCATGGGAGCATTATTTTTCCCTTTCCCAGACCAACTATAATGCAGCTGACTAACACTAAGTCCCTCCTGATTAATTTAATGGTAGCTAAATAGTGCAGAAATAGTGAGAAGCCACCAATTGGTAACACTGCCATCCCAATGTCTGTGGTAATCAGCACCATGCTGTCCAATGTATAAAAGTCTCTAAATTAAACAAGGATTTCAGTTTTCCTTTCTGACTAATAATTTTCCTTTTTTACTTTTTTTTTCAAATTCAGTAATTTCAGTGCTAGACTTTCAGAACTGCCTTCTATTTGCATATCTGAAAAACAACACAATTTAAAGAATGACAATATGACATGATTATATAGATGGATCTAGAAAAGACAATTTGGCTTAAAGAAGAGCCAAGAAATGTATGATATTTGCAATACATAAGGTAGCATTAACTTTAGTGAATCTATTCAAATGTAATGCTATGCTCAAACTGCAGTAATGCCAGACTAAACCTTTAATTTCCTTAAATCTGAAAAAAGTCTGTAAACATTTTGCACCAGAAGCTATTGCTTTGAATTTTCTGTCCCTTTGAGCTTGTTACACATTACATGTCTCTTCACTCATGTGAAATGCAGAGGATTTTTTTTTTATTTCTTAAGAGCGATGGGTAAATCAACCACAGTTCCAATCTCAGCAGTTTAAATTTTCTGGGTTTTCCTTGCATTATCTCCAATTTGTCTATATAGACATTGGAGATGATGCAACAAAAATGATACAGAAGTTCAGAAAGCATGATCTGGGAGGATATACTAGGAAGGTTGAAGGTATTTAATTTAGACAAGACTGAAAGGAGGTATGCTAAAAGGTTGCACATACAGTGAGATGAGGCTGATTAATTGCTCTTCATGCCAAATAAAGATTAAAAAAAAGTTATGAGCTATTCTGCAGCACGGAAGATGTGGAAAAACTTTCTATCAGCTTGCTGATAGAGATGAGAAGTCCCTCTTACTGGAGATTTTTAGAAACAGAGTACAGAAGTGTCTTTCAGGGATATTCTGGTCTTTGCTTCTGAGCAGAGCTGGATTAAGAGACTGCTGGGAAACCCCAGCCCTACAACTCGGTGACTTTCCAATCACTCTGACCACAGTCCCAGGAAGGAATTCCTTAACCTCTGCTTGTCCTTTCACCAGGATGTCTATTAGCCAGCCTTTCCATTTCCTCTTAGGAACAGAAAAGTACTCCTTTCCTCTCAAGTGACAAATGTTTTTGTCCCCATGAAAGCTCATTTCTGAACATAGAGGGGGAAAAAGGCAAAAAAAGGTGACGCTTTCCGATTTTACTCACTCACTGCTATAATAGTTATATTTTTAAAATAGAATGTATTTAGTATTGTAGAAAAAAATAGGAAGAGGATATTTGCTTGTGAACTCCAAACCTCTAATATTTTACAAATGCTTCTGAATTGAGTTTGGCAGTACAGCACTGAAACAAGTATACTTGGACCCTTTTTCAGAATGTCAAGTGCATAGCTGAAGTGATTGGGGTCAGAGTGGAGATAAAACATTAGGGAGAGTCCAGCGTGCAAGTCCTCTATTCTAATCACCAACCGTATTCCTGTAAAGTGGAAAGTGTGGTGTATCTTTTTTTCTTTTCCATTTTATTTGAAAAGCAGACACTGGCCTTTAAAATCTTTACAGCTGCTAAGAGTGGGGTTTTTTTGCATTATGTATCATGGAAAAAGTCAAACCCTCATCTGCACAGTAAATGTTAACAGCTGGGTTAATTGTGAGGCTATAGGGCATCTTTCAAGGTTTATAAGACAGCTATGCTCTTGGAGATACGGTTTTCAAAATGCTGCCTCTTTGAAAGCAGCCTTTGGCTGCACAGTGCTACTTTTTAACAGGTTTAACATTACTAAAAATTGAGATGCTGATGCCATTATTAAATTTCATTCTGCACACAAGCAAACAGTTTATCATAGTCTGTTCCCAGCAACTGTAATCCAATTTTTGTTATCTTACTTTGTTTAAAAAAGAGAGAAAGATACTGTACGTCAATCTGATAAAAATGTTTAAATAATTGGTGCTTTTTTTTGTGATTATGTCAGGTTTTATAGAAGCATTAGGGAAACACGACAGGGTAACTAAAATCTGATTACATCTAAGTCCTTGCCCATTATGTGATTATTATGAACCATGACTTCTACTGGCACATTATGAATTACATGGTCATAATACAAGGGATTTCCAATATAATTAACTGAGATTAGCAGTGCTAGAGAAATCTGGGAATAATGATACAACTTTGAACAATCAGTTTTACTGTAAATGCTGCTAGCTCTGGCTTCCAGGAAACAGGAGGCTGGTGGATGTGACCCACCTGCTGGGGTTTCCTATGCCTCCTTTCTCTTCCCTCCCCCAGCAAAATTAATGTCAACCTTGCCAGTGTGTTAGGAACTCCCTCTTTTACTGTTTTCTTTTCATATTATATTGATAAAACTCAAGGCTGGTTAAGATTTTCAAAAATGTCAAAGGTCTTTAGATACTTTCTTTTTGGGGGGCTCAGCCTGTAACTGGAAAGGCCTCTGCTTTTGAAAACATAGAAATACCTACTTATTGAAGAACAGACCTGTTTAAGACAGCTCAAGTTGGAGCACTTAAAGGCAGAAAGTCATGAAAATCACAGATTAGTTTCAAAGATCATAGCCAAGGTCATATTATTTCTTTAGTATCTCAGGCAGGCAAGAAGTCTTTCTTTTCACAAAAAAACCCCAGCTCTTAGCTGCTGAGGAGAAAGCTGACTGTGTCCAGAGAGAGTTGCTGACTACTGGACCTCTTCTTTCTCATGCAGATAAAAAGGGATTTCTACATGGATCCAGTGGCCATCTTCTGGCTTTAGAGGAAAAAAAGGGAAACAGAGTGCATGATGGAAATGTTGTAGGGGGGAAAAAAGAGACTACTACAGACTTTCTGTTTCACCCAGTAAAGCATGGACAGCTGGGGTAGAGAGGAAATTCCCCTGATTATTGAGATATCATTTGTCTCTGATAGAGCTGAGATTAAAAAGAGGAGCACTTTTTTTCACTCTATGGAATTAAAATTTCCTCTCTACATAAATATAGTTGAAGAGCTAGAGAAGAATACAAGATCATTTGAGAGATTTTGGTTCAGCCTGGTGCCCTCCTCCTCCTCTGACTTATTTATAGCTCTTAATTTTCAGATTTCACAAGAAATTGCATCTCAGATTTTTTATTAAACCATACACATCCTAGGTTTGTGCTCCTTGTTCACTTTGATATTATTACACCCAGTCAGTGCAATGACAGCCTTTCATTTACTTTGCTCTGGTGATTGGACTCCTTTAAACCCGTACCTCCAGTGCTGCTGAGAACTGCTCCACTGCAGCTGTGTAGTTCTCCTGTCCGTAGCAACTGCTGGCCTCCTGGAGGGTCTTCTGGAGCTGGATGTCAAGCTGGGGCAAAGCTCTGCCGTTGGGTGTGCCCAGAGCATCTGCTTTTTCAGACTCCCCACACACTGATCGTGTGCTTGTAGAAACCCCAGGCTCAGCAAACTCAAAGGAAATGTCCTCCTCAATAGTGTAGACCAACTCAATTTCTATGGCCTTTATCCTTTTCAGAGAAATATGAGGCAGAGGTGTCGGGTTTAACAGATCGCCAGTCTCTGATGTTGTCTCTTCTTTTTTCACAGCTAGTTCTTCACTGTTTTCTAATTTCCGTTTACAGCTTGTTCTGTCTACATTATTAGTTTGGTTTTCCTTCTTTCTCTCTGTCATTTTAACTCTCTTTAGAATTACTGTTGCTGTGCTTTCAAAGAGCTTTTTGACCTCTTGAACTGCTTCTGGAAGAACATTCAATTTGGTTGTTGCTACATCTGACTCCTTGCTACTATGCATATGCTGGGAGGGTTCATTCTTGCCATCCATCCTTTCAAGACTTTTTCGGAATTCAATATAGCTTTCTGATGCCATAATATGAGCAAAGAAAGAGTCCTAGGAGAAAATGTAGAAAAGTTAAGAATACTCAGATGTTGCAAAGCCAAAAAAAGCATGCAAATGCTTCCTTCACTAGTTGTACTGTAGGCACCATTATGAGAGAAAACTGTTCAATAGTTAGTACGTAAAATAACAGACTCTACAAATACTTTCTCTTTCCTATGTAAAAACTTAAGGAATTTTAAATATTTTTGCTAGCTCTCAATAGCGGATGTTTGTTTATGTAAAGTAATGCCACTGTGTCACTTTGTTATATCTGCCACAAGAAGGGAAAAATCTGGCTTTTAATCAAAAGAAAAACAACCAAACCCCTATGACTAATTGACTCATGTTGGACGTTGTTACGGGGTGGAAAAAAATCACTGTGGCCTGATTTTTGAAGAGCTGGTAAGTACAGTGACTGAGGTCAGAGAGGGGTGTTCAAAAATCAGACAGAGTGGATGTATTCCAGAGGGTCAAAAGCTCCAAGTGGAGTCCCAGTTTCAGGTGCATTTGAGCAAAATTCCAATCTTGGTTTGGGTTTCAAAGCCATTTCTTATTGAACCATCTGCAACAGACATGAGTATTGGTATTAAGCTACCCTCCCTTAGTAGTCAACAGCCTAATTCTCAGTTCAGGGAACTGGTAGTGGATTCAAACTTGTACAACAAGGTGCAGAATCAGGTTCATAAGCCTGTTCTCAACACCAATTCTTGTATAGTAGGATAGGGAACTTGATCTGCATTGTAAACGCGTAATTGTGCTCAGATTGAAAGGAAATGTTGATTTTCATCTGCCTCTGCTGACTTCATAGTGAAAAGGCAGAAGGCACAGGCAATTTTCTCCTCAGTTTTCCCATCAGTTATGAAAAGTTTACTTGTAAATATCTTCAATGATAATTGTCTTTCAGTATGCTTTGTTAAGCATACGCACTCAGCCTTTAACCTTGTGTTATTGTTCAACAGACATCCATGTGTGTAGCACCAGTTTAATGTACTTAACTACAGGTACAGATTGTACAAAGGGAAGATGCATAATAAATTCATTTCTGTTCAGCCAGAAACAGATTTTAAACAATAAGCAACTTGTTGAGTTTTAGTGAGGACCCCACAGTATGTGCTACTGCTCTTGTAACAGCTGCCGAAATGTGTCCTAGGTGCTGTGGAGCAGTGAACCTTTATTGTTATGGCAATGGGCAGAAATTTATAGAAAGGGTTAAAGGGAAGAGACGAAGGCATTTTAGACCGTATGAGAAGCTGATACTGAATTTTAATAAGGTAAATAAGGTTTCAAATCTTTCTCATGTTTCCCCCCCTTCCCCTGGCTAAGCCAGATTGCAGAGCCAGGACTGTCACCAGCCCTGAAGCCAGGAACTTGTTGATTTTGACATTTTGTTCACAACATACAGGCTGAAAACTTTACTGTAGCAGAACTGCCTGTGGAGAAACTTATACCTCATTCCACGGCTGCAAGAGAAAGAGCGAGAGGTGAGGGGATAATTGTGTGATTTAAGGTAATTTCAGCAGACTTTTTTCAGCAATGTGCTGAGCAATCACAACTCCTACTGAGTTCAATGGGTATAGAAAACCACTGGCCCTTCCCGGATAGTGCTCTGCACTTGTCAGAATAGAGCTCAAAGGAATCATATTTATAGCAAGCTATTTTGAATGGCAGCAGTAAAGCAGCTGGAAAAGGCTAACGTACTTGCATCTGGCAGCAATTTTACCTGTTTGCAAGACATTCAATCCCTTTTTAAAACAAACCGTAGCATAGACTAAAGATTGGAAGCTGGTTTTTTTTTTTTTCCTTTTCGGGGCTGGCTTCAGCACTAGGTAATTTAGGAAATTATGATTTATCTTCACTGTGCAGTGGAACAGAGCTACTCCAGCCAACCTCAGGACCAGCTGAGGGAATGAGCTGATAATCTTGGTGCCATGTAATGCCAATGTAACTGTCACATATAGGATCTGTGAGGAATGGCTATATGGCTATACCAAGCTCTGGAGGGGCAACACAGGACTTTCACAGCCTTGTGGGTGGGCTGTTCACTGAAAGCCCTGTAGAAGTCTAGAAAATGAGATTTAAGTGTCTACATCAGATACAAGTTTGCAGGAATTTTTCTTTGAGCAGCCATATAGTACCAAGGGGCCCTCAAGAAAAATTACTGGACGCTTCTCCTTACCAGAAAGCTCACAAAGGGAAAGCCCTATATTTGATGTGGGGTTGATTTCAGCCAATTTCCCATTCATGCTGATCCAAACTGTTTGCTGTGACCGTCTTAAGCAGTTTAAAATAATTTACCATGGAATAAGAGAAAAACAGAGCACAGACTGTGAAATACAGACCAATAATTCTTTAATCACTTATGGACATTTTTGCAGTGGATCAGCACCTGAAATGAACTTTGCTGTATCAGGTAGATTTATGCTGCTCCTATTGTATTTTAGGTGTTGAAGCTGATTAACATGACTTTGGGTTGTGCAATGGAAGCATGTTATAACTCAGGCAAGATCACTTTAATCACTGTCTCAATTAAAAAAACACTTTGAGGGAAAAGCTTTTAGAAAATCATTATCTTTGTCAGTTAAGTATTTTCCTGAGACTTTGGTTAAAATATCTGTTTTTTTTATTTTGGAAGCATTTACTGTAAAATGCTTCTAATCAATCACTCTGCAGGGGAATGTAGATAGACAATTTAGCGCCATCATCAGAAGGAAACTACTCCAAATTTGTGAGCTCTCAGGAATGATCTTCCCAACCAGTCAGGAGCAAGTTCAGCTTTCTGCATATTTGAGGATTAATCTTTGCCAAAAGACCTCTGTCCATGGCACTGCCATCTGCTGCAGTTGGGTCTCTTGGTAAGGAAACCGCATGTCTACAAATGGAGAGACTTGCATGAAAAAAACATATATGCAAAAGGAACATAAGATCATTTATCCTCTAAAATCTTCTGGTTTTGTCTGTTGATTTCCCAATATATCTAAGAAAACCTTCTTGGAGAGAGTGGCCTGCATACTAGATAATGTAAACTTTCTTATGTTCATGATCTTATGAACCCTATTATTTATGCTTTTTGTTCTGTATCTAGTTTGATTCTGCTTTCAACACCTCCTTCTATTATCTCACATTAGATTAGAGAAGAACCTGCTGATAAATCACACTGGCACTTCAGCTGGCACCTAGTTGTTAAATTCTTTGCCAGTTCTTTGATAAGCCCTTTCTTCTTCAGAATTTAAATTCTGAATTCAACCAAAAAAGCTTTTGCCCTTACAGTTGGGAAGTAAAACCTTTCTAAACACCAAAGACTGCAGTGCTGTCTTCCTGAATCTGCATATACCAAGGCTGAAACACCGGGCTACATTCAGCATTAATTTAAGTGGAGGGACAGGAGAGAGAATTTCTTCTAGTAGTGCTCAGAGGGGATTAAGCTGCCTTGAAACTGGACCATTACATTGCCCTTACCATCTCTCTGGGGCATGAATTCTGTGGGGCTCCACTTCAGAAAAAGGTAAAAAAATTCAGCAGACAGCGCAAGTCACTGTTTTTGAGGATCACAGTTGCCTTTTATGCCTTCTTTATGGAGGAAGAAGCAAATTCAGGGAGAAATTTCAGCCCACAGAGATGTCTGAGCAATAAGTCCAAGTTACAGTGTCCTAGCTACTGAATAGCAGAGCACGGCTTCAGATGAGGAGCAAGCAGTGGTCCAGCTTGCTGAGTCTGCAATGTTGGCCTGCTGGATCATACACTTGCATGATTCAGAGGTCAAGGGGGATGGTATGGCAGCTAGGAAGCAGAAAGGGGACTCGACAGTTACATGTCTTACTCTGAAGCAAGTTCCTTACACTGACCATTTGATAGCAGTCCAATTGGACTTATGATCTAAGATTGAACACCCTCCATATAAATGCCTTACTAAAACTCAAGAGACAAATTAGGCATCAGATCTGGAGACACCAATAATTCTCCCTCTCCTCAACCCAATCAGAACTGGCAGAGATTTCTCTTGTCGCTGTTTTGTTTTATTTTCACTTTCTCTGCAGCGTAAGGTACAAGCTGCCTTGTTCAGGGTGGTCTGGTTGTACCTCATCTGCTGTCCTAGAAACTCTAGTCTCTAGTGGTCCATCTATATTTTGTGCTCTCTGCTGTGAATGTTCAATGCTGCACGGTTCCTAGAGGATAACATCACCATATTTTTCAGCCAGAGCGTGACTCTATCAGCAGCACATGTGCATGTTGTGCACAGATGCCTCATCTGTCTGTCCCTGAGCTCACTTTTGTCCCTGCAGCCATCCAGTTGTGTTACCCTGATACCCCACTCAGGCTAACTCACCCTGCCAGAAGAGACATATAATGACAACTGCCATACTAACACACTAGTTAGACAGTGATGGGATTTGTCCAGAAAGTTATAGGAATCAAACTTTCTTCTATAATAGTCTTTTTCTCCCAGAAGGCCATTTGAAATCACAGGGCAGTCATCTGCTACAGTTCATTTCAGTGCAAATGTTGGAATGGGCAGAACTGCATCCAAAACCATGGAGCAAGTATAAGAAAATTATACAACTGGTACTTGTACAAGTGTTATCCCACTTCTTCAATGTCCTCTAGTACAGACAGAGAAACATAGTGCTATAACAAAACACATCCAAAGCCTCACAACAGAGAGGTCATTAGCTGCCCTCCTCTATAATAATTTCACTTATATTGAATTCCAGATATCCTGATCCATCTCTAAGGTGAGGATGCTCCAGTTTTATAACGTAAAAATGAAGCAAGATTTATCTGTATTAGATTTAGAGACAGAGATTCTGAATGAGCCTGTGCACCGACCATGGCTATGCTGAGATCTGAACTGGAGATTTTTCCAGTCCATCTTTCAGCAAAAAAATGACTTTTTTAAGCACTTCTTTTACTGCTGAATACCACAAAGGCTCAGACAATCTATTGATGATGAAGGTCAGCACCTTCTTAGCAGCACATAAAGTGAGTCTCTCACAATCAGGTTTCAAACTTTTTAAGATTCTAGCCATTTCTTTAGGCAATGAAGCAACCTAGTTCTTTCATCTTGCTATTTTTATTGTTTGAAAGCCCAAGTCACATCTGATCTTTTTTATTTTTAGGGTTTTTTTGGGGGAAAAAACCCCTCTTAGTGTATCTTTTTTGTTCAGTACTCTTATTTCTCTGTGATAGACATAAGTAATGGCTCATTCAGTGCAAAATCAGAACTCCTTACATTTTTCTTGCTGTGATAAGGGCACACTTGCCATTATTACAGCCACATTGTCCACATTGCTGCAGTAAAGGTTTTGTCAGCACTTCCACTCTAAACACTATTTTCACTCACTGTAGTTAACCTGTTTGCAAAAATAATAATAAACTGGGCTCTGGGCTGAAATTTGGCAAGGGTAATAGTTTTGTTTTCATAGTAGTTTGCAGGGATTTTACCATATTATCCTAGTCGCTCTTTGAGTCTGAAACATTAATTGTTTACGTGGTGCTGAGTACAACGAAACACTAATGTCATTAAGCTGTAGACATAAGAAAAATATGAAATTGTATTAATAATTAGTGTTCACAACTTTCAGTTGGCTAGTTCATTAGGCACCCTTATGCAAAGACAGTAAGCTTACTGTTGTTCAAAATAACACAACCCCAACTCCTGCTACTACTCACAACAGCTTATGGAAGTTAACTACAGCTGAAGGCAAGTATAACAGAAACAGAATGTAAGAAACCAGTCCTGGTTAAAATACTTAATGTGTCTTAAGGACAGTGTGCAAAAAGAAATAGAAATTACAATTTAAATAATCAAGGTAAGTTTTCACTAAGTATGTTGATATTGTGGTTGTCTTTCCCTTCTTGAATGGTGTTTAAATACAGGAAAGAAAGGAGGGCATGAATATCAACTGACATGTGTCCAGGAATCTAGGATTTTTCTATGAAACAGTTGGGCATTGATTGGGCAAAAAATGAAAACGGATAAATCCCTCTTCTTGCTGACTTTAGATAAATAGTAAAGGGATCTGTGTTTTCTTCTTCCTGAATATTTTCCTTTCTTTGCTCTGTTTTATCTGGCTTATCTTTCCTGCTTGCCTTTCTTGAAGTAAGGATATGGACAGCCACGGGCCTGTAAAGCTTGTGTGATTTAAGAGGCTGCTTCTCCCAGCTTGTCAATACTGCCCTTCTCTTTTACTGCTGCAGCTCCCAGTGCATTTCTGAGCAAATTAAACCAACTTAAGGTAAACAGATTCACAGAAAGTACCTGCAGTCTGGGCTAATCCATTTCATTAGGCACTGAAGCAGGCTGGAAATATATACCATGAGCTAGGAGTACCCAATATGCCAGCCATGGGAGAGGGAAGAAAGAGAGTAGGATAGGCAGGGATGGGAATTTCTTCATTCTTTGCTGTCTTCTCCAGCAAAAGCCTATCATATATGTATTTATTTGGTTTATTGGTTTAGCCAAGAGTGCATATTTTGGCACATAGCTTCCAATCTACAACAGCAGTAACACATTTTTTTGAAGTTTTTTTTAAGTTTTAAGATAGTATCCTAAAAGGTCATAGTGCTCACTGAAATGGGTGAGCCAATCTCACAGGACAGCTAAAACAAAGCTCCTATTATTTTCCATTTCTCCAGGTTTTCTTCCCCTCCATGTTTTCTTTAAAGTATTACTTTAAAGCTTTATATTATTGAGTATCACAGCAAAAGTTAACTGCCAACAGTTAAACAGAAAAATAGGCATCTTGATTACCTATTTACTGCTGTAGATCACAAGGATTTTATTAACAAGTTGTTTGAATAAAATTAGAGCTGTGAAAAGAAAGTCGGCTAGCAACTACAATTATAATTCAAAATCAAGAAGGAACCAGAATGTCCCCAGCAGCATATCTCAGGACAGTGAGGCAAAGCAAATACAGAAAAGAAATATCAGTGATCACAACTTGGAAGAAGAAAAGGAAGATTCAGTACACAGTGAGGGCTGAGGGTATGTGGTTGGTAACTAGTGTGACTAAGGAAAAATGAAGAGAAAGAAATTGAGCGTGTTTTCTGCTTAGGTTTTTTAGGCACTGTGTGTCTGCCCTACACTCCCTCCTAGTGAAATACTTCCTCTAAAAGTGTGGGAGAAAAAAACTAAGATACAAAAGAGACAGCAGGGAATGCATTTCAGCTCTGCGTAATGATGTCATCCTATTAGCACAAAGCCCCACATTGTCAATTAGGAAAAAAAGGTCAGCGCTGTGTCTGA